GTTCAACTTCTAATTTTTTTTATAAAATACCAAAAAACCATTTTCAAGGAGCAATTAGATTTTTTAGGGTTTAGAACTTTTTCCCGTCTTAATTTTTGCGCGTCATTACTTTTTTTATATGATTATTTTTTATCATTTATGTAATTGTGCCCGGTTTGTAATAGCTTAATTAGGGTTTTAATTTCCGCATTTTACATTCTTAGTCAAATATGATTGTAATTTCCCCAAAGCTTTGTAATAGCTGTAGGTTTTACTTTCTGCACTATATTATATGCTTGTATATAAACTGCTAGTAAATTAGGTGTGTATGGCAAGAACTGATCAACTAATCTTAGATCACTAAACTGCAAGATAAAATATCTAAAAAAAGTACATTGATGCACACTTGTACCCTTAGGGTATACCTCACTTGGTTGTCTCGGAAACAGTGGCCATGTCCCTCGAACATAGGGATACTCTTAGCAAAGACCCTCATTTTAAAGTCATCATAAAGATCATAGTCCCTAAATGTCCCTCGAGTTGCCTACGAGAAATGATCTTATGATGATAGTCCCTTCGAAATGCTAAGATATCCTTACATGTTGCCTTCAATGACCATTACGTCCCTTTCGATAGTCCCTCAACATCCAACGACTAGAGTTACCTACTCACTAATAGTAGGATAACACGGTCTAAAGGATAGGAGGAAAAGAACGGTCTTTTTAGAGTGGGTAGATAATTGTTAGGTACTTGCTCAAAAATTCTTTTACACCCTACACTTTCAAACACTTTTCAAATAAAGTTTTCAAAACGCTTTATCACACTCTTGAGGACTGATACAAGGGTTATCATAAAGCGAATCTCCGCACTAAGGCATTTTCAAACAAAACTTTTTCACACAAACACGAAAGCAATTTTCAAAAATGAGCAAGTACCTAAGAGCCCGTGGAAAACCACGGATGGAAAGGGTGATAACACCTTCCCTTTCCATAATCTACCGCCCTTACTCAGAAAACTCTCGAAAAGGTCTTTTTTTGTTCTTTTCACCCTTTCCTTTGTTGGATAAAAGAAAATACGATGGCGAATCTTGCTTACCGCAACATTTGCAAACACAAACGCAAAACCAGTATTAACAGTCAGTTCTGCCACCGTATCACAAAAGTGTGTTCTTACTGTTTTGGTTTCTTTAGACAATCTTTGTGATTGGGATAGGTCTTTTATCACTGCAGTGATTGGAAATTGGATGGCGATTTCCTTGACTTAGGGATGACCTAAGTTGAAGTTTCATTGGGTAGGGATTAGGCGAGAAGTTGTAAACGGGGAGTTTAGCATTGAATTAGTACTACTGATAGTGGATTTACTTCCCGACTTGGTAGACCCCGGAGTAGGTGAGTTAGCACTGAATTGAGTTAACATATCTTGGTGTTCTTTACTTTTTGCAAAGTTATTCTTTTTGCATTGTTGTTATTGTTGTTGTTCTGTCAGTGAATGTTATAACATTTGTCTTGATATTGTGTATTGTTGATACATCAGTCTTCATTTTTTATATATTGTGTGTGCCATGATTTCAAGGGTTATCATTCATCTTAACAAATAGACAATAATGCTAGAAGAAAAATTTTGATTTGGGATAAGGTACCTTGAAATGTTAGGTCGAAGGCAGTGAAATGGAAGATAAGGCTGAATGTTGAAGCTTTAAACGCGTGATAACAATTACTCTAGGAACAAAATGCTCTCAAGAAATAGGGAAAGCTTCAAAGGAAATAAGGGAAATTAAATCTAAAAGGTTGCAAAAAATTTCCCCAAATTTCCTCTACCCCAATATAGGCCAAGGGAAATGTACAGATTGGGTTAAAAGTAAGAAGCAAGTGCAAATCAATGCTCAGATTTCACCTTAGAAACACAACCAAACTCAAGTGCATAGTAAGCATCATCATGCCACTCTCTACCTTTTCCGGTCACACGTCAAGAGAAAAATGGTAAAATGTTTCAATGATGGAACTGCATTTAATGTTTATGTTCCCTATTACGCTTTGGAAAAAACAAAGCAATGCATGCTCACCGACGCGTCGACAACCACTCCTAAAGGCATGCCACGATTGTTAAAAGACTCCCTCGATATCCAGAGTTTTCGACGAGTCTTGGGCGAAACTACTTTGGGACGGCCAAAGGCCTAATAAGATGAGGCTCATTCCTCTCCTCCGCTCCATTGAACCCAAAGTATAAATACATTTACAAGGGGGTTTCAGGTACACAATCTTTGATCTCCACTTTCACTATACTCTTCTTGAATCTTGAATTGACTTAAGTGTTGGAATGTTAACCATACAGGTCACTTTGCACTGCCGTAAGGGAGATCGGAGCCACCGTTCAAGACCATTATTTTCAAACATTGTTCATTTTTTATTCCTTTGTGGAATTATATCATCCATTTTTGGTTCTCGAATGGAATAAATACCACAAAAACATCTATGTAAAAGTATAGAATAACTGAATATTATCTCCAATATTATCAAATTTTCTCTTCATCTCACAGTCATAACTTTGATCACATCATCTTAAAAATATATATGCATCCTCGTTATCTTTTCTTTTTCACTTGAAAACACACTTATGCAAAAGCCCACAAAAATTGGGAGGAGTGGGACGAACATAGTTGAGGGTGTGAGCCTAAAACCTTGGTCCACCTCGCAAAAAAAATGAGGGCCGACATTGCACCATTTTAGCTTAAAAATTACAAAATTTTATGTTAATATCCTCGTCAGTAAAAGCTCGTAAAATAATAAGGCGGACATATTAGAGGGTGCGAGTTAAAAACCTTGACCTACTTCGTGCAAAAGTGCTTATAAAACAGGTTTTCTAATGGATCGAACTCGTTTTACCACCCCTGAGTACCGGGAGGTGGAGGCAGAGCTGATAATTCCTAAACTTGCCTTTCCCTATTACATATGCATAAGTTGAGAGAGGAAGTATGAAACATAGTCACACTGCTTAGAATTCCCTTCAATAGTGGTACGAATTCGGATACACAACTCACAACTCTAAAAAATTAAATATGTGAGATACGTTATTTAGATTCATGTTACCTTTACATATGATTATTGGTACATTATTATTAAAAGATAGTTTAATTAAAATGAAATAAAATAGATAGTTTAAAAATGTTAGGTTATCTATTATTAAAGTAATTGAGAGGAAAATTTTATAGTCTCACATCGGTCTTTAAAGATATCTTTTGTATTGAAAAGTAATCTTATTAAGATCAGAAGGATTTAGCGGCCTACAATACTTGGACTTTTGCTATGACGAAGGAAAAGTGGGGGTACCTGTAAGACACTCTGATGTCAAAGTAAGGTTCAGAGTGATAGTGTAAATATAAAGTTAGAGTGAATAGAATAGTGTACCTGACCCTCTAGTGAAAGAGGGTATTTATAATCCTTAGTGTTGGGCCAAGGTCCCCATTTTGGATCTTATTCCCAGATCCAAAATGGAGACTGCTAGAATCTTACGGGGGTACATGAGACTAGCACGTGGTCTCTATCCTGGTTCAACTGCCTCGTGATTTTCAGAGGGTAGAAGACCCGATTTTTTGAGGACAGGATGACTGTGTGATATTTGGAAGAATGTTAGTCATGTATCTTTGGCGGGCACATGGAAAAGACGTACTTGTCAGACACGTGGAGGAGATGTCCTTGACGGAAAGGTGGAGGAGGAGATCCTCGATGAACACGTGTGGGGGATGTCCTCGACCGCACGCGTGGGAAACGACCTTGTTGGTCCCGTGGGGGGTGTTCCTCAACGGTTGTGGGCAATTTGAACCACTGTAATTAGCATTCTTCGTAATAGAGTTGGATTGGGCCTTGTCCGACGACAGACTAAACGCAAATCTAGTTCAGAATAAAAAAATATTAGAGAAAAAATTTATTATCTCACATGAATTTTTAAAGAAATAGTACATTAAAAAAGCATTTATAAATAGACATATTGTATATCATAAAGTTAATTCATAGTGAACTGCTAATGTAAAGCTTTAGTTTGAAATAGTATAGTCAATTGATTTTTATTTTTTACTAAAGTGATAATAACTTCAAAATATGAAGGGAAAAAAAGTATTTCTTATTTATTTTAATATAATGATAATTATTGTCCATTTAAATTTGAAATTTAAAATTTATTCGTTGATAGTCGTTGATAATTTATTTTACATGAATTTCATTGATAATTTATTTTATATGAATTTTGTGTGAATTTATGCAACCAATTTGCAAAAGTACCGCGAATCAGTATATCAGTATATGTGAATTCGCAGCTAACAGTGATACTAATACATGTGACTGATATGGAGAAGCCAACTCCTCTATGTCCGCCGCAGATCACTGCAACTGCCACAAGGTGGAAGTAACCTCAATATAGTAGAATATTAATTAAGTGGCCTTTCAACCCTCTTTAGTTTTCACAACTCTTAGGTGGACAAAGGAGTATGAAATAATCTTTTGTTTTATGTCCTTTGATTGCATTTTTCAGTGTAACTAACATGTCTCATTATTTATGTGTCTCTTTTAACATGCATCAAATATCAACCTACAAATAACAAATAGTATTCCACTTGACTTGATGAACAAGTTACGTTACTCTTACTTTGAGTGCCATCTAAATGTAGCTGCAGACTTAATAAGCCTTAAGAAAGTATTTAATTATATTAAGCATTGTTCACAATTTACAAGTTTATCAAATTGGTGGCTTTGCAACACCGCATATGAACTTGAACCTAGACCATTATCTTTTATTCCAAAGCTTCTACCTATTGGCCCTTATTGAATAACTTTGAAAACAAAAGTGAAAAAGAATCAACTGGACAATTTTGGAAAGAAGATTTATCTTGCATGAGTTGGCTTGATCAACAAGAAAATAACTCTGTTGTTTATGTTGCATTTGGTAGTTTCAGTTTCACTCTTTTTGACAAAAAACCAATTCAAAGAATTAGCATTAGGATTTGATTTAACCAATAGGCCTCAAACAAAATGATGAAATTTTCAGGTAAGTGCTACAAAATTTATATACAAAATAACGATATTTTGACACTTATCAAACTCTCTCCAACTTACAATATTGTTTGTCCTCAAACAAAATCAAATAACTTAAGGAAAGAAAAGACGATAATCAAAGAATAACGAATCAACAGGTTTCGAAAAATAAAAACAAATGTATTGTTCAAACAAAAACGCACAAGCAAAATAAACATTTACCACAATCCTACAAGGACAATATGAAAACAAAACGAATCATTAGTACAAAAATAATGTTGAACAGTCTAAAACAAAACAAACTCACATCAAGAATCACACCTAACAAAAATTCATTATTGATGGATGAAAAATACAAAAGTGAGGATTTGACATAGTGAATTCAAAGGGTATATAGGGAGAATTGTTAAATGGACCCCACAACAAAAGGAACTAAGACACCCTTCTATAACTTGTTTTATTAGTCATTGTGAATTCTGTTTTGGAAGGTTTGTCTAATGGGGTACCCTTATTGTGTTGGCCATATTTTTCTGATCAGTTTTATAACAAGACTTATGTTTGTGAAGAATTGAAAGTTGGGTTGGGGTTTGAGAAAGATGAAAATGGATTAGAGTTAAGTGGGGAGATTAAAAAGAAAGTTGATCAATTGCTTAGTGATGGGGACATAAGGTTAAGGTCTAGGGAGATAAGGGGGAAAGTAATGAGAAATTTAGCACAGGTGGATCTTCAGAGAGTTTCAATAGGTTTGTTAAGTGGCTGAATGAATAAGAGTTAGCACTTAATTGGCTGCTTAGTGATGAATAAATAAGAGCAAGATGTGAAAATGTGAAATGGTCATGAACTAAGCTACTGCTACATCTATTTCATTAGGAATTGATGATCTTTTAACAATACCTTCAAAAGGATGGCTAGTCCAAGATGCTGAACAACAAAGTTTCATTTTGGAAAAACATAATCAATATGGAAATGTCCATGCGGTAGAAAAATTACGCCAATCCATTGAAATATGGTATGCTACAAGCGAATATTTGCGACAACAAATGAATTCCAATTTTAGGATGACTGACCCCTTTAATCCAGTCCATATCATGTCTTTTTCAGGAGCTAGAGGAAATGCATCTCAAGTGTACCAATTAGTCGGAATGAGAGGATTAATGTCAGATCCACAAGGACAAATGATTGATTTACCCATTCAAAGCAATTTACGTGAAGGGCTATCTTTAATAGAATATATAATTTCTTGCTACGGAGCCCGTAAAGGGGTTGTAGATACTGTTGTACGAACATCAGATGCTGGATATCTTACACGTCGACTTGTTGAAGTGGTTCAACACATTGTTATACGGCGAACAGATTGCGGTACCATCCGTGGGATTTCTGTAAACACCCGAAATGGAATGATGCCAGAAAGAATTTTGATACAAACATTAATTGGTCGTGTAGTGGCAGACGATATATATATAGGTTCACGGTGAGAAATCAAGATATTGGAATTGGACTTATCAATCGATTCATAACTTTTCAAACACAACCAATATTTATTCGAACCCCCTTTACCTGTAGGAATACGTCTTGGATCTGCCGATTGTGTTATGTGCGGAGTCCTATTCATGGGGACCTAGTAGAATTGGGAGAAGCTGTAGGGATTATTGCTGGTCAATCTATTGGAGAACCGGGAACTCAACTAACATTAAGAACTTTTCATACTGATGGAGTATTCACAGGGGATACTGCTGAATATGTGCGAGCCCCCTCGAATGGAAAAATAAAATTTAATGAGGATTTAGTTCACCCTACACGGACACGTCATGGATATCCTGCTTTTATATGTAATATAGACTTGTATGTAACTATTGAAAATGACGATATTATACATAACGTCATTATTCCACCAAAAAGTTTTCTATTAGTTCAAAATAATCAATATGTAAAATCAGAACAAGTGATTGCGGAAATCCGCGCGGGAACATCTACTTTAAATTTGAAAGAGAGGGTTCAAAAATATATTTATTCTGACTCAGAAGGGGAAATGCATTGGAGTACCGATGTGTATCATACATCACAATTTATATATAGTAATGTACATATCTTACCAAAAACAAGTCATTTATGGATATTGTCAGGAAAGTCGTGCAGGTCTAATACAATCCATTTTTTACTTCGCAAGGATCAAGATCAAGTTACCATGGATTCACTTTCTAATGGAAAAACAAATATTTCAAATCTTTTAGAAAGGAATGATCAAGTAAAACATAAATTCAATACTTTTGGTACAAAAGAAAAGTGGATTAGCGATTCTTCAATATTGAATCAAATCATATGTACAGATCATTCGGATTTAATGTATCCTGTTATTTTGAACGATACTTTTTGTTTCTTGGCGAAAAGGCGAAGAAATAGATTTCTTATTCCATTTCCATTCCAATCGATTCAAGAACGAAAGAACGAACTAATGTCCCCTTCCGGTGTCTCCATTGAAATACCTATCAATGGTATTTTTCATGAAAATAGTATTTTTGCTTATTTCAATGATCCTCAATACATAAGACAGAGTTCAGGAATTACTAAATATACAACTATAGGAATTCATTCTATTTTTCAAAAAGAAGATTTCAGTGAGTATCAAGGAATCGAAGAAGTAAAGCCAAAATACCAAATTCATGTAGATAAAAAAAAAAATTTATTCCCGAAGAAGTGCATATTTTACCCGAATCTTCTTCCCTAATGGTACGGAATAATAGTCTTGTTGGAATAGGAACATCAATCACTTTCAATATAAGAAGTCGAGTAGGCGGATTGGTCCGATTAGAAAAGAAAAAAATAGAATTAAAAATATTTTCTGGAAATATCCATTTTCCCGGAGAGATGGATAAGATATCCTGACACAGTGCCATCTTGAGACCACCCGGAACGGTAAAAAAAATGCAAGAAATCAAAAAAATTTAAAAATTGGATTTATGTCCAATGGATCGCAACTACCAAGAAAAAGTATTTTGTTTTGGTTCGATCTGTAATTTTATATGAAATACCGGACAGTATCAATTTTGTAAAACTTTTTCTCCAAGATCTATTCCAGAAAAAGGATAATCTGGAACTAAAAGTTGTCAATTATATTCTTTATGGAAATGGAAAATCCATTCGGGGAATTTCCGACACAAGGATTCAATTAGTTCGAACTTGTTTAGTCTTCAATTGGGATCACGGGGAAAAAAGTTCTTCTACTGAGGAGGCCCCCGCTTCCTTTATTGAAGTAAGTACAAATGGTTTGATTGAGTATTTTCTAAGAATTGACTTAGTCAAATCTAATACTTCATATATTAGAAAAAGAAATGACCCGTCTGGTTTAGGATTGATCAGGGATAATCAATCGGATCGAATCAATCCTTTTTTTTCTATTCATTCCAAGGGAAAAATTCAACAATCACTTAGCCAAAATCACATAACTATTCGTATGTTGTTGAATAAAAATAAAGAATGCCGATCTTGGATAATTTTGTCATCATCTAATTGTTTTCAAATGAGACCATTCAACAATGTAAAATCTCACGATGGAATAAAAAAAGATCCTATAATTTCAATTAATAATAATAATTCGTTCGGTCCTTTAGAAATAGCCCTTCAAGTTGCGATTTTTTATTCACTTTATCATTTAATAACTCATAATAAGATCTCAATCATTAAAAATTCGCAACATGACAAATTCACTGAAATTTTTCAAGTAATTAAATATTATTTAATGGACGAAAATGATAAAAAATTTAAACCCGATCTATACAGTAATATTGTTTTGAATCCATTCCATTTGAATTGGTTTTTTCTCCATCATTTTTATTGTGAAAAAACGTTTACAATAATAAGTCTTAGACAATTGATTTGTGAAAATATATGTATAGCTAAAATGAAAAATGGACCACACCTAAAACTAAAATCGGGTCAAGTTATAACAGTTCAAATGGATTCTGTAATAATAAGATTGGCTAATCCTTATTTGGCGACTCCAGAAGCAACCATTCACGGCCATTATGGGAGATCCTTTCTCAAGGAGATATTTTAGTTACATTCATATATGAAAAATCGAGATCCAGTGATATAACACAAGGTCTTCCAAAAGTGGAACAGATATTAGAAATACGTTCGATTGATTCAATATCCATGAATCTAGAAATAAGAATTGATGCTTAGAACGAGTGTATAACAAAAATTCTCGGCATGCCTTGGGGATTCTTGATTGGTGTTGAGCTAACTATAGCGCAAAGTCATATTTCTTTGGTTAATAAAATCCAAAAGGTTTATCGGTCCCAGGGAGTACATATCCATAATAGACATATCGAGGTTATTGTGCGTCAAATAACATCCAAAGTCTTGGTTTCAGAAGATGGAATGTCTAATGTATTTTTACCTAGCGAACTAATTGGATTATTGCGAGCATAACGAATGGGGCGTGCCTTAGAAGAACCCATTTGTTATCGAGCTTTATTATTGGGAATAACAAAAACATCTCTGAATACTCAAAGTTTCATATCTGAAGCGAGTTTTCAAGAAACTGCTAGAGTTTTAGCAAAAGCCGCTCTTCGGGGTCGTATTGATTGGTTGAAAGGTCTTAAAGAGAATGTTGTTTTAGGGGGGATGATACCCGTTGGTACCAGATTCAAAAGAATAATGCACCGTTCACGGTCAAGGCAACATAACAAGATTACCCGGGAAAAAAAATTATTCGAAGTAGAAATTAAAAATCTTTTGTTCCATCACAGAAAATTCTTTGATTTTTATCATTTCAAAGAATTTATGTGATACATTATTAGAAATATAGGATTAAATGGTTCCTAAAAGCGGATTCGACTCAGCCCCTTAAAATCTTTAAATACAGTCATTTGATTTGGTAATAAAGTAGAATAAAAAATAATAATAAATAGAAATAAAAGAATGGCCTGATTCTATCTTAACGGCCAATCGTCTATAAAAGAGAAGGTTCCATCGGAACAATTATTTATTGCTATTTCAGGATACTGGGTCTCTCTATTTTTTTTTCTATTTTTTTTTTAAAAGTGTGGGGATAAATGATAAAAAAGATATTGGAACATCACTTTTGAAGAGATGATGGAAGTTGGGGTTCATTTTGGCCATGAGTCTAGGAAACGGAATCCTCGAATGGCACCTTTTATATCGGGAAAACGTAAAGGTATTCATATTATAAATCTTACTAAAACTGCTCGTTTTTTATCAGAAACTTGTGATTTGGCTTTTGATGCAGCAAGCACAGGAAAACAATTTTTAATTGTTGGTACAAAAAAAAAAGCAGTTGATTCAGTAACACGGGCTGCAATAAGAGCTCGATGTCATTATGTTAATAAAAAATGGCTCAGAGGTATGTTAACGAATTGGTATACTACAGAAACGAGACTTTGTGAGTTCAGGGACTTGAGAACGGAGCAAAAGACGGGGAAACTGAACTCTCTTCCAAAAAGAGATGCCACTATGTTGAAGAGACAATTATCTCATTTGGAAAGATATCTAGGCGGTATTAAATATATGACAAGATTACCTGATATTGTAATAATCCTTGATCAGCAAGAAGAATATACGACTCTTCAAGAATGTATCACTTTGGGAATTCCAACGATTTCTTTAATTGATACAAATTCTGACCCAGATCTTGCAGATATTTCGATTCCGGCTAATGATGATGCTATAGCTTCCATCGGATTAATTCTTAACAAATTAGTTTTTGCAATTTGTGAGGGTCGTTCTAGCTATATACAAAAAAAAATGATTAATAATAAGATAAATCAATTTTTAGATTTGGTTGGGCGTGCGGTCATAGATTTTTGGAATTGGTTATTATAGCATTACAAAATTGTGTAAAAAGAAATATTTTGTGATTAGTTAGGTATTCAAAATAGAAAATCAAAATAAAATAAGAAAATGGTTGAATCAAAATAATTCCCTTTCAAGGTATATTTTTTTATTTTAGAAGACAGGGCAATATGAATGTTCTATTATGTTACATCAACACATTAAACAGATTCTATGATATATCTACTGTGGAAGTAGGTCAACATTTCTATTGGCAAATAGGGGATTTTCAAGTGCATGCTCAAGTACTTATTACCTCTTGGGTTGTAATTGCTATCTTATTAATTTCAACCATTCTAGTTGTTAGAAATCCGCAAACTATTCCCACGTCTGGTCAGAATTTTTTTGAATATGTCCTTGAATTCATTCGAGACGTGAGCAAAACTCGGATTGGAGAAGAATATGGTCCATGGGTTCCGTTTATTGAAACTTTGTTTCTATTTATTTTTGTTTCGAATTGGTCAGGGGCCCTTTTGCCTTAGAAAATTATAAAGTTACCTCATGGAGAGTTAGCTGCACCCACAAATGATATAAATACTACTGTTGCATTAGCTTTACTTACGTCAGTAGCCTATTTCCATGCGGGTATTTCAAAAAAGGGATTGGCCTATTTTGGTAAATACATCCAACCAACGCCAATCCTTTTACCGATTAACATCTTAGAAGATTTCACAAAACCCTTATCGCTTAGTTTTCAACTTTTTGGAAATATATTAGCAGATGAATTAGTAGTTGTTGTTCTTGTTTCGTTAGTACCTTTAGTAGTTCCTATACCTGTTATGTTCCTTGGATTATTTACAAGTGGTATTCAAGCTCTTATTTTCGCTATTTTCGCTACTTTAGCTGTGGCGTGTATAGGTGAATCCATGAAAGGGCATCATTGACTAGTTATCAAAATCGTGTTTTAACCCGCAACAAAGTATGTGTAGCTCGCGATAATATACTTAAGAAATATTAATAAAAAAATACAAAAAAAATTTAAAAAGGTTTAATAACAATTAAAAAGTAGAAAGAAAATTAAAACAATTACCAAAGAATTGCAAAAAAAGAAATAGAGATTAAGTAAATTAAAAAGGTTGAGAGGGTCAAACTAGGTGTATATATAATCTAATCGTTATAAGACAGCGGGGGGATTTCTAAGAATGATTGATTGAATCTAAGATACAACTCATTGGTTTACAGTATGGAACAAACACATGTATATGTCATAGTAGATATTCATTAGTTATATATGACGATCTATCTAAATTTATTCTGCTACTACTCTAAATTTAGGTAGGGATTCAAAAAAAAGATTTCATCTCTTGTAATTCTGAATTGAATATAAAATGACTAAAAAAATGAAATCAAAGAAAAAAAAAGTTTAAAGATATGCATAATTGTAATGGTTTACATAATTAGCAATTACAATTAGAAACATATAATTGATAACACATATCTGACACCAAGACATGGCTTCAATCTTAATCTAAAATGTGTTACATAGGATAAAACACTAGCAGTAGCTGTGCCTCGGACAAAATTGGCTTCAAACACAAACAATTCCATGTATATGAGACATCAAAGTTTGTCACACCACAGGAATTTCTGAAGAAATGCAGAGTTTTGAATCTGCTCCACCACTGATAACACTGTCACTTTTCCACCAGTCAGCACACAGTACCTGAGTTACGCAAATTAAAATTCTATTAGCGGCCATTATAGTCCTTTGATGATGCAAAGTTGTGTTTTAATTAAAGTGTTGTCAATTGCGGATCGTGGAAAGTGGAAAATAGTGGTTTGCTCAAATCCATTTTGGTACAGTGTTATAGCCACTCTTTGGTAACATTTTGTATAAAATAGTGTATCAAAGAATAACAACTTGTTCAAATTTCACACCACAATCAATAACAACTTGCTCTTCTAAAACATGGAAAGGAAATGTTATACCTTGTCGGTGTGTGACTCGATGGTTGAAAGAGACCACTGCAACAATAATAAACAAAAGCTCTTGGTTAAAAATCCAAAGATGGTGATAATCACATCAAAAGTAAAAATTACTTGGTAGTTAAAAAAGGTTATATTACCGCAGTTCTCAGATCCCATAACATAACTTTCCCATCATAAGATGCAGAAAGTAAATGAAACGGAGACTTATCATGCCATTTGCAAGCTGTTACCCAAGATTTGTGAGAAGCAAACTGAAGAATAGGAGCAGAAGTGCCTGCAGAAAATATGAACTACTTTATAAGCTACTGGCATGCATATGATTGTTTGTGGAGGTGAGAGGGACCATTATTTCCTTCGTCTTACTGACCTGGCTTACGAGGATCCCAAATCCTAATGATAGGGTCAGAACCACCAGCAGCTATGAGTGCAGAACCTTCCCCTCCAATGTCAAGGCAGTTAAGAGCCTTACCGCAATACTATACACCGAGGACAAAGTTTTCAAATTAGAAAAAACTATAATTTTTAATATTTCTGTGCTTTTCTACTCTTTAATTGCCGTATCAAATTGTATTCTACAATTCTTTTGATTGATCAAATAGCTCCAACCAAAAAGTGAAAAAATAAATACAGATTACCAGAAAATAACCATAGTAACAACAACATCCAAGTCTTATTCCACTAAGTGCGGTTGGATAATATAACCATTGTAAGAAAAAGGAAAATAGTTGAGGAACAAGCATAGACAAAATGTAAAGATTAGACAATATTATTCAGAGAAACAAAAATATAATCTCAAAGATACCAGAACAGCATATTAAGAAAATAAACAGCCTTGATCTTCATCAAAAGAACGACAAAAGAAAAATGACAGCACCGTCGAGCAAGGTGTCATATAACTTAATTTGAAGACAAAATTTAAACTTCAACAGTGTATAATTTCAACAATGGAGAGAGAAAAGGAGCAGAAATTTAACAACTTACTATATCTGACAAGTTTTTGCCTGTCTCAACATCCCATTTCCTAATAGAATGATCCCAAGATGCCGAATAAATTGACTCTCTTTGTGGCCAAATTACTGAAGACACGCACTGTGTATGGCCAACGAGGGTTGTAAAAGCTTCTCCCTACAATAAAATATTGTATTATTAATGAAAACTTGATTGTCAGCAAAAAAGACAGTGATGCATCCCAAAAAGGGAAAGAACAAAGAAATGCTATAAATTAACAGTAGTCACAAATCTATAAGATTTACGTTCACAATAGTATCAAGAAAATTTGGAACATGTCTCAAAATAGATCGGTATAATCCTTTTCTAATAGATTCAGAGTTTTTCCAGACCTCCAGCAATACAAACATATTAACAAAGAGATTTTAAAATTGTTATAACTATATCTCATATCTTTTTCTTCTTATGCATAGAGATGTTAAATGAAAGAACAATGGAGAATAAAGCACGGCAAACTCAACTAGTGAAAAAACATCCTTAGATGTACTATTCCCTACTCCAATTAAAACACCTCAGACAAAGTAGAGTCAAATCAAATGCCAGCTTTAATGATTTCTTAGAAGTTGGAATGGATTTCTGAATGCATAATATTTGAGAGAAATTTACATGAAGAAATACAATAAGGTGTGTGAAGCATGTACAAACCTCTAACTGAGAGTCCTCAACCCGACCTTCAACTTTTCTCTTCTTGGACACTAGGTCATTTTCTGCATTGTTGTCATTGATTCGCCATAGGTTGATGGTGCAATCCCAAGAACCAGAACAAACCTAATCATATGAGACGGCAGAGGAAGAAATATGTTACAAATTACACTATTGAAACCAAGTGCAGAGAAACTCAGAATAGAAAAGCAAATACAAACCATTTCTCCATTAGTCTGCGCTGCAACACTCTGTACAGAAGACTTGTGACCACGCAAGATTTTGTAAGCCCTAACCCTCACAGGATTGTTGGTAGCCTCCTCGGTATTGATCTTTTATAAAAAGGAAAATATAACATA